TCTGTGAATGAAAGCCTGGTGAGTCAGATCTGTCACTCATCGTGTACACGCCAGTGACCTGCCCATAGGGCCTTGTCACCATGTGCCCTCGGGGTCACGAGGCCCCGGCTGTGACTGGTTCATCTCCGTGAGGCATCGAAGAGCTGCCGTCACTGGATCTCATTGGCAAAACCAGGCATAACTGTTACTCAAACACAGCTCATGAGCTCGGCCGGTGTGGCTCAGTGGTTGAGTGCCGACCTATGAACCAGGAGGTCACAGGTCAATTCCTGGTCAGGGCACATGCCCGAGTTGCAGGCTCAGTCCACAGTGTGGGGGATGCAGGAAGCAGCCAGTCAATGATTCTCTCTCATCATTGATGTGTCTATCTCTCGCTCCCTCTCCCTTCCTCTCTGAAATCAGTTTAAAAATATTTTAAAAATACAGCTTATGAGCAGCATTCATTATAAAAGATAACAGAGGATTCATTGACCTCCAGCCCTGGGCTGGGAGGAAGGCGAAACCACATCTGAGGACGAGGAGGGCACAGGGGTTTCAGCCTGAGTTCCTGGCCCGCTGGCCGTTCCCGTCGCGTGGGGTCGCATGGGAAGGCTGTCCTCTCCTCACTCAGCGGCTGACGACTCTGTGTGAGGGACCCGCGCCTGTGCAGTGGTCTGGTTAACAGGACGAGGGATCTCTGTGGAGCTCCGGGCCCCGCTTCAGACACGAGGACTTGGCAGGTCGGAGCAGGTCCCAGGGGCCGGCGCCCTAAGCCGCGGCCAGGTGGTCTGTGCGAGACGCTCAGGAAAAACACGGCCTTTGAGTCGCCGGAATCTCCTGAGTCTGCCTCCTCCACCCTCTCTGTCTTCTTGCTCCTGCACTGCCCCCGGCCAGCTCCTCACGTCTGCGAGATCATTTCTCCAGGGCGAGGCTTGTCCGGACCACGCGGGGCCTGGGTGGTCGCCCAGACTGCCCGATGACCGAGGAGTTCTCTGTCGCAGGACCCCAACATCTCCTCATTCTTCTCTGTTTTCTCGTTGCAGCCCTGCCGGGCAGTGGTCCTGGTTCTAAAGACGAAGTGGTTTGTCTGGCTGTGCAGTTAACAAGGGGAAAGCCGTTATCTCAGCAGGCCCCCCTGCCCCCACCTGCCCGCTGTCCCGGCATTGTGGTGCAGCGTGCGCTCCGGGCACTCGCATGTCACCTCTGCGCCCCCTCGGCTGCCACCCCACTGCACCGTTTCAGGGGATCAGGAAGGATGGGTTTCCTGCAGGTTCCTGTTTGTCCTGCCTTCTGCAGGGGCAGGTTCTTCAGCGAAAGGCCCTCTACCCACCACCAGGCAACCTGACGATCTCTCCCCAAAGGCCTGTCTCTGTCCTGGAGGGGAAAGGGACTGACCTGGCACCAGGCCTGGTTCTAGAACCACCCATCCCCTCACCTGGCAGCAGGGGGACGGGCAGGAGGGGCCTGCTTCTAGAACCACCCGTCCCCTCACCTGGCAGCAGGGGGCCGGGCAGGAGAAGGATAGACCCCTGTGCCCTCACCTGGCAGCCGGGGGACGGGCAGGAGAAGGATAGACCCCTGTGCCCTCACCTGGCAGCCGGGGGACGGGCAGGAGAAGGATAGACCCCTGTGCCCTCACCTGGCAGCAGGGGGACGGGCAGGAGAAGGATAGACCCCTGTGCCCTCACCTGGCAGCCGGGGGACGGGCAGGAGAAGGATAGACCCCTGTCCCCTCACCTGGCAGCAGGGGGACGGGCAGGAGGACAGACCTGCCGCCACTTTCTCCAAGAAGCTCTGACCCACCACGGGTGGAGTGGGCGCCTCGTCAGGGCTCTTCATAAGCCCCCGTCTGAGGCCTCTTGTCCCTCCGCCGTGCTGTCGTTTCCGGCGTGTGTGTATCTGTGTGTGTATTTCTCAGGCTGTGGACGAATCCTACTCATCACTTGCACAGCATCCAGTGCATGTGGTCAGGAGATGCTCGTTTAGATGCCCGTGAAGAGTGGAAGTGGCAACCTGGAATCTACGTGAGGGGTGCATTGGGTGCCGCACTCTGATAAGCGGGGCCTCCGCACAGGGTGGTTAAATAGTTGACTGCACGACTGAAGTGGGCGGTTTGTGGTTTGTGGTTCACTAAGCAGATACTGGAGGAAGCAAGTCCCAATCCCACCAGAAACACAAGCGCTGCTTCGTGCACTGCTCAGGGCCGGGGCCTCAGGGCCGGGTGTCCAGCTGGCCTTGTGGGCTCTGCAAGGAGCCAGAGCAGGACGGAGGGGAGGAGAGAGGCAGTGGTTCGCAGCTCCCGGTCCCCAGCCCTCAGAGGGGCTCTGGGAGCCTGGACATGCCCGTGAGGGAGGCCCCTGGCCAGGCCTTCCTGGGCCCTCAGCTCAAGGGGCTGGGGCCAAGCAAACATGGTGGGAAGGTTCATTGAGTAGTACCAAGCCCTCTGCTGGGAAATGGCCCTCGCTCTGTGTCGGAGGCAAACACCACCTGTAAAGCAGCAAACGCGGGCGTCCCCTGTGGTGGCAGTGCGCGTGGCTTCTCGCCTGCGTCCAGGCCAGACCTGCGGACGATTCTGCACGACATCCCCACGACCTCTGTCCTCAGACCAGCGGGAGCCCGGCTGATTCAGGATGTTTTGTCACCTCTTTTAAAGTTGCATTTAAGGAATGAAGTGGACCACGTGTCGTAATTTACTTGTTGAATACTTACTATCAGTATATCCAGTTCCATAGTATGTATCAGAATAATAAGGAAGGACTTTCCCCTCCGTTTCAAAAGCAAAAGCATAAACAACCCTTTCACTTGGCAGTTTCTTTACTATGTTTCTGAAAAGCCAGCAAGCACTGTTCCTTAAAATAATAGCCCATCTGTTCCGCTGCACAGATCTTATTAAAGTCCCGGCTAAATTTCTACTCCCTTCATGTGACAGATTGTAGAAGAATTTTTTCAACTAGAACTTCATGATGCTTTCTTTCTGAATACTGGGTAGAAAGTAGGGATAGCATATAAAGTTAGTTACAGTTAGTTTTAGTTCTTGGTCTTTATAGAGCTGCCGTTTGTCAATGACACAGAATGTGTATCACCATAGCAATGGGACCACCCCAGACGCAGAGCACTGTTCCCCAGGTTGTAGGCGTAGCTGTTCTCCTAAGAGGTGAGAGGCCCTCTCTCTCCTCATTCCCATGCGCGGCTGTTCTCAGGCACCGGCAGCTCAGCAGCAACCTTGAGGGACCTGGCGGGGACACCCTTCCTGGGAGGGGGTGTTCCTGTGTGTCACCCTCGTGTCTGGGTGAAGGGGCAGAGGTGTGGAGACCCGCACATCGTCGGGTGGTCTGTGAGGGGAGCCCGAACCCTGGGCTGGAGAAACCGGAGTTGACCCATCATTGCACCGCTGAGAGCACGAACGTGGCTCTGTGTTTCTATTGCCTCTGGTGTGGGATGGACGGAGAGAGGACGATTCTGGCTGAACGGGACGATTCTGGCCGGACGGGACGATTCTGGATGGAGAGAGGATGGTTCTGGACGGAGAGAGGATGATTCTGGACGGAGAGAGGATGGTTCTGGACGGAGAGAGGATGATTCTGGACGGAGAGAGGACGGTTCTGGACGGAGAGAGGATGATTCTGGACGGAGAGAGGACGGTTCTGGACGGAGAGAGGATGATTCTGGACGGAGAGAGGACGGTTCTGGACGGAGAGAGGATGATTCTGGACGGAGAGAGGACGGTTCTGGACGGAGAGAGGATGGTTCTGGACGGAGAGAGGACGGTTCTGGACGGAGAGAGGATGATTCTGGATGGAGAGAGAATGGTTCTGGACGGGGAGAGGACGGTTCTGGACAGAGAGAGAGGACTTCTGGCCGGAGAGAGGATGGTTCTGGATGGAGAGAGAATGGTTCTGGACGGAGAGAGGACGGTTCTGGCAGGACGGGACGATTCTGGCGATTCTGGCCGGAGAGAGGATGGTTCTGGCTGGAGAGAGGGTGATTCTGGATGGAGAGAGGGTGATTCTGGCTGGCTGCCAGGATCTGGAGTCTGTCCACACTCATGGCAGAGACTGTTGGATGAGCCTGCACTGACGTTTCTCTGTCGCCCCCACAAGACGGGCTCGCACACGCCTCCCAGGAGGTGCTCCTGACCCGCGGGCACTGAACTCGCCAGGTGACATGTGGAATGTCCTGGAAAAGGCCGAAGTCCGCGGGAGTGCTCGGCAGGGGCTCCATTCCCTTTGGCAGGAGCGGTGGGCTCGGCAGATACTCTGGGTGGATGTCGGGCTGATCCCCTGGGACCTGAGAGTGTTCTCTCCTGGTGGCAGGAGGGTTTCCTTAAACTGAACCTGCACTGGGGCAGGACCCACAGGAGGCCGAGCTCTGGGGACGGGCTAGGAACCAAGGTCTCCTTCCCTGGAAGAACTCCTGAAGTAATGCGAGCCCAGGCTCCTGGCGGGAGCCCCGCAGTGGCATTGGTGCTGGTGGCGGCGCTGGTGGCGGCGGCGGGTTTTTGAGGAGGTGGGGGGGGCGGGGAGGAGGTGAGCCTGTGTGTCCATGGGGCAGAGGGAAGAGGGCCCCTGAGCCATGACTGTCACCAGGGACGGGAGAAGCCAGGAGTGAGTTGAAGGCCAGGACCTGGGTCGTCGTCCTTTCCTGTGCCCAGGCGCCCTGTGGCTGTCTGTTGCTACTCAGGCGATTCCCCTGAATTTTAAGGGGATCTTTAAACTTGCAGGGGAAGGGACTGGGGTTTCTTCATCCCTCAGCTGGGAGTGGAGACTTTCCGCCTCTGTTTGTTGTAAGCAAAGAGCAAAGACTTTGAGGAGACAAAGTCAATACGGATCTCATTGTCTTAAGGGCCTGATTATTTAAAATGGAAAGAAGGTAACATCTACAGGAAACAAAGTATTAGTAGCTTCACTGTGTCGCTATTGGAAGGTCCCGAACTGCCCTGCTCCCTGGAACTTCCCACGGCTGTAGCCAGGCTATCCCCAGTGGCTCCTGGTCAGTTGCAATGGCATGAGGAACCAGACTTTTAATCTCATTTAGTTTCAATGAACATCAAGTGGCCCTGTGTGGTTCCTGGCTATGGAATGGGACAGCACGGTTCTGGAAGACAAACCTTTTGTGCGGATAAGGCCATAATGGTGATCTGACAGCGTGGGCTCCCTTTGTAAGTAGCATGCATCCCGGTCGGTGTTCACCCACCCAGGGTATGTATCCGTGATGTGTCACTCACAGGCATTTAGTTTTTTTGTGTTTTTTTTTTAAAAAGTGAGCATCCAATTTTTGTAAAAAATATATATTTTACTGATTTTTTACAGAGGGGAAGGGAGAGGGATAGAGAGTTAGAAACATCGATGAGAGAGAAACATCGATCAGCTGCCTCCTGCACACTCCCCACTGGGGATGTGCCCGCCACCAGTCTGCACGGCTATGAGCCTCGGGGCTGGGGAGAGGAACAGAGTGAAGGGTGATGCCGTGAGCGCGGGCAGGGCTGCCTCCACTGCGCCCTGGGACAGTCCCTGGCGGGCTCACAGGGGCACACGCCGCCTTTCCTTTGGTGTTGGGTATCCTTTCCGTGTGCCACGTCTTGCCTGCCTACAAGCACAGACCGTTCCTTTTCTAGGAGGGTTTTTACTCATATGTGTGCATCATGCGTTCTCAACAGGGGACTTGTCCTGGGGCATCGAGATCGGCACTGGTTTGTGCCCCTCCAAATGCCTCAGGAGCTAACAGATACACAGCGTATGAGATGTCCACATCCCCACCCCAGGGGTGGGGCAATTAGGAAGTCTAAGAAGGCTCTTAGGGAGTGGGGGCAATACTGAAAGAGTAAAAACCGTACACTGTGATTGAATTGGACGAAGACGGGCTTTGATGTGGGGGTTGCTAAAGCCATTGCTTGCAGGGCCCTTGATGAGTAGAAGGTCATTGGGAACAGTTTTTGTTGTTAACTCTGATGAAGTAGAATTTACACTCCTTCGTTCCCCATTCACAGCGGGGTGGGGATTGGACCAATGAACCATAAGGACCTCTCTTTCTAATTTTAAATGATTCTTTCTTGCTCACATTCTGGGGGATGAGAGGAGCTGTGTTTCCCCCCGCCAGCGTGCTGTTCCCTGGTCCCGGAAGTGCTATATTTGTCCTGTGCTTTAATGTACACAAAAGTCTAAATTGCTACGTTTCTGTAAAGTCGGATATAACATTTTAATTAAAGTGTCATCCATAAGTCATGCTCGGAGTCCCTGAGTTCTGTGCAGCCAGTGGGGAGCAGGGACTCACACGTGTGCCCTGGAGTGAAAGCTGCTCTGGGAACCGTGGAAGCCCATGGGGTGCAGCGGGGAGAAGGGGCCACTCACCACCTCTGTTCCTCATGGGCAGGCCCTGGGCATGGTCACGGGAGCAGGCGTGACAGCACTTTGTAAATTACAGTTGCAAAGCTTCCTGCAGACGCTGGCGATACATCGACAGTTCTGATGGAGAGAGGCCTTCCTGCCAGGGGTGGCTTGGAGCTGAGTGTGAAGGGAGAGCAGGTATCTGCAGGGGAAATGAAAGGCAGGGCTGTGCCAGGTTTGGGGAGCTGCCGAAGCAAAGCAGGCAGGTACGAGGTGTGGGGTTCTTCAGGGAGGGGTGTGTGTGGTTCATTTGGGGAAGGAGAGGAACAAGGGGAGGAACCGGGTGGGGTCTGGACATCCCTGCAGAACAGAGTGGCCTGTGTAAATATGTATATTTTATTTGTGCCATATATAAATATGTTAGATGTCATGTAAATGTGAGATTTTTATAACGTTGAATTATTTCTCAGCCCTGGCCCGATAGGTCAGTTGGTTAGAGCGTCACCCCGATATGTCACTGTGGCGAGTTGGCACAGCCATGGCATACTCAGCCCCAGGGCGCCTTATGGGCCATGCCAGCTCAGCCAGGTTCAGTGACCCTGAGAGGGGGCGGTGAAGGATGGAGAAAAGACAGACAAGAGGATGAGCTGGGTCTGGGTGGGACGCTGCTCCCGGATGGAGAGACAGAGCCAGGACTACAACCTGTGTCTTTATTTTATAGCCAGATTCCATGAGGCAAAGTAAGGGCGTGGTCAAGATGTTTACAGCATTCTCGTGGGTTTCGATCCTACTCAGTTACATGCACCTGAACTCTATCAAGCCCATATTACTCAGACATGTGGGGCCACGTGTTTGGACCATAGGTTCAAGCTTACAACTACAGCTGTTGGCTATAATTGTGCGGGGAGGGCTCTGCCCTCCAAGCTGGGACTTGCACATGGCCATGAGAGGACTGTGCCCTCTTATTAGTCCGAGGCTTGAACCTGTCCAAACACTGTAGCCGCTCTCCACATGCCAAAGTTGTGGGTTTTATCCCCAGTCAGGGCACATACAAGAATCTACCAATGAATACATAAATAAGTGGAACCACAAATCAGTGTTTCTTCCCTCCCTCCTCTCTCCCCCCTCCCCCCCTTTTTCCTCTCTCTCTCTCTTTCTCTCTCAAATTAATCAACAAATTAAAAAAGGAAGTTTTTCTGGCCAAGCAAACATGGTGGGAAGGTTCATTGAGTAGTACCAAGCCCTCTGCTGGGAAATGGCCCTCGCTCTGTGTCGGAGGCAAACACCACCTGTAAAGCAGCAAACGCGGGCGTCCCCTGTGGTGGCAGTGCGCGTGGCTTCTCGCCTGCGTCCAGGCCAGACCTGCGGACGATTCTGCACGACATCCCCACGACCTCTGTCCTCAGACCAGCGGGAGCCCGGCTGATTCAGGATGTTTTGTCACCTCTTTTAAAGTTGCATTTAAGGAATGAAGTGGACCACGTGTCGTAATTTACTTGTTGAATACTTACTATCAGTATATCCAGTTCCATAGTATGTATCAGAATAATAAGGAAGGACTTTCCCCTCCGTTTCAAAAGCAAAAGCATAAACAACCCTTTCACTTGGCAGTTTCTTTACTATGTTTCTGAAAAGCCAGCAAGCACTGTTCCTTAAAATAATAGCCCATCTGTTCCGCTGCACAGATCTTATTAAAGTCCCGGCTAAATTTCTACTCCCTTCATGTGACAGATTGTAGAAGAATTTTTTCAACTAGAACTTCATGATGCTTTCTTTCTGAATACTGGGTAGAAAGTAGGGATAGCATATAAAGTTAGTTACAGTTAGTTTTAGTTCTTGGTCTTTATAGAGCTGCCGTTTGTCAATGACACAGAATGTGTATCACCATAGCAACGGGACCACCCCAGACGCAGAGCACTGTTCCCCAGGTTGTAGGCGTAGCTGTTCTCCTAAGAGGTGAGAGGCCCTCTCTCTCCTCATTCCCATGCGCGGCTGTTCTCAGGCACCGGCAGCTCAGCAGCAACCTTGAGGGACCTGGCGGGGACACCCTTCCTGGGAGGGGGTGTTCCTGTGTGTCACCCTCGTGTCTGGGTGAAGGGGCAGAGGTGTGGAGACCCGTACATCGTCGGGTGGTCGGAGGGGAGCCCGAACCCTGGGCTGGAGAGAAACCGGAGTTGACCCATCATTGCACCGCTGAGAG